TTTTCGTGTTGTTGGCTGCGTGTATATCCTCTAAGTGTACCAACCATCTGCTTGCGAGACGAAAGAGGAGATACGTGCTTATGAAGTATCGATTTTGGTCGTCATAGTAACCTCCTCCATATCCAAACATCGAATTGTGTGGCCAACTTTCCTAATATAAAAGAGATGCAATATCGAAGAGGCATAAGCAACAATCAAAGCAGCAGTTCTTCTCTTTTATGCAAATATTTAATCACTTTACCTTTTATCAGTAATTCTGTTATAGAGTCAAAACCTTGTATGTTTCATAATTTATCTTCCTGGTTTTATATTTAAATGAATATAAATTGCAAACAGAAATAAATATTTTTATAGCCAAAGAACGAAAAAAAAATTTTTTTAATATATGCAAAAGGTTAAAGGAATTGATTTTTTCCATCTCTTTCTCTCTCTCTTTCTTTCTTTTTTTTTGTACATAAAAATATTTATTATGAAATTTATTTATTTTAAAAATTAATTCTTAAATTTCTTATTTCAATACTGAAATTTACTAATTTAAAACAATGCTGAAATTTATTAATACAAAAATTAATATAAAAGTAATAAATAAATATAAAAATTGGAAAAGAAAATTTGATAATTTTAAAAATTCTCGAATTTAAAAGTTTATAAATTAATTTCGAATTTAACCAAAGATAAAAGAATGAAAATGAAGGTACAAAATATATAAAAATTATATACTTATACTGATTTACAAAAGACTTATTAATCAATTTATATTAAGAAAAAAAATTCACGAACTTCATGAATAAAAATATATAAATATTTCGTAAATTTGCATACATTTTATAAATAATAAAAAAGAAAACAGTATATTAACGAATATATTCAAACTATTTTTTTATCGTTTTATATTTTTCTAAAACCACTTTAAAGTGTTTTAAACATGACTACAGAATCAAACATAACACAACGTGACTTCAGTACAGCACTTTATTTAATAAATTTTACTGTTTTAATGGCCAAGTATCATATTACTTTTACATTCCAGAGATGAAAATAGTATTTTTCTTCGATTATATACATAAATATATATATAAATTTGAAGCTCCCATGTGATAAATTTTACAATAAAATGATTGCTCACGTGCATTTAAAGTATATAAGAGAGGGAAAAATATATTTACAATGGAAATAAAGTAAAAAACCAGGGTAATAACTAAAATATCATAAAGATTTAATGATATTAAAAAATATATTCAATGGGAAAAATGTCAAAAAATTAAAATTAAAAAAAAAAAAAAAAAGTCGAATTTTCAACAAATGCAGATGTGCAACATTAGCCAAAGTTACAGTTCTAAACATCAGATTTGTTGCCTCGAGGGACATTTGGTCCTGCCAAATCTGTATAAACAGTGTCAATGCTGCGTAAAATTTCAAACATCATCAAGTAGAGAGATAGATTCTCTCAAGCATGAAAAGCGAATAACATCCCAGCTTACGGAGCAGAGAGAGAAGAGAGAAGAGAGAAGAGAGAGAGAGAGAGCAGAGAAAGAGGGAAGATAAATCTGAAGAAGACATCTTTCTCTTCCTTATTCTACTGAAATAATGTTTCGTGTGTGGTCTCTCACGTAGCAAAGTAAATCTTGCGAATTATTTTCCTGCTGCGGTAAATGTTTTCGAGTTATTTCTCCTTTTTTTCTCTTCTATCTTCATCTATCTGAAGGATTACGATCGGCTGGATGCGTCACTCTCTCATATATTCTATCAAAATTTTATGGTAGAAAAATATAAAACTTTCTCTTCCTACCATAGAATCAGTTAAAGCGGAAAATGGGATATGCATACAAGAAATAAGGGAGGATATACTTCATGTATAAGTACTTAGTGTTCGATTTAGGAATTATCAAAAGTTTTAAATGCTTTTCTAAGTTGCAGATTCATTTTTTATAATTCTAAATTTATGAGGGCTTTCGTTTTATTCATAATTTTTACTATATAATACTTAAGATTCTTATTATAAGTGATGTTTTTATAGTTGAGGTGGACTTAATTTCCTGCTCTGTAGTAGAATGATTGACATAGATTGCTTAATGAAATTATTTTCATGCTTCACTATGTTTCTGTAGTAAATTATATTCATAAAAATGCTAAAGTTTTCTTTATCAAAGGGATATTTAGCATGCAAATCACGAAATTCTACCGTTAGAATCTTAACTAGAATACTGTTTAGCATTGTCAGTAGTACAAAAAAAACTGGAAAGTAATACCTTTATATAATTTAATCTGTGACAATTTTTAAGTTAATTGAAACGTGTATGAGATAATGTAAAGAATCACCCCTATAAAAGGGAATGATTCTTTATTGGATGATAATGTACAGAATCACCCCCTACGAAAGGGGGTGATTCTTTACATTATCATGCAATAAAGCTATATAACTGTCTTATTTTCTGATTTATTTCCTATAAAATCTTACTATTTTAAGATAGAAAACACTTTACTAAATTAAATCAAAAGTTACGAAAAATCTTTTTAGTGGGTAGTTCTAACTTCAAATAGGTAGAACGAGTGTTTTGGGCCAGTTAAACACTAACTTTGGCACTAGGATACTGGCTATAGTTCGCCAGAGGCCTGTAGAACCTTTAATATTTTTAGTAATAGTCGCAACTAGGTAGAATTAAGAGATAATCTACCCGAAAAAAACTAGGATCCTACTATTGTAAGGGGGAAAAAACTAGTACCTGGTTAATGAATCCCTATCGTACATTAAAGAAGCAAACATGCAGATAAAAGTTAGTTTTCGATCCTTTATAGTTAGGCTATCCTCTTAGGATGAATCAACACTATTATTAGAATATACAACAAACACGCTTTTCAGACTATACATTCTTATAGCATCTAATTTGCTGCACATTTAATGATTATCTCACATTAATTAAAACGGGAGTAACTGCTTGACTGACATTTGCACAAGTTACACAGCTGGAATTCCATTGTTAATAGTTTAAAGGACACATCTCGAATATATATCTGAACATTGTTCCCACAGGACATTCTCTCATCTTGAACTTTCGTCTTGATAATTACTTGCCAGAAGCATCTGCTAGATAAAGACTGCTGAAGGGTTGAAGTGGTGTCGGAGGTGGGATACCTAAACCGAAAATCTTTGTAGGGAATTTTTAGGTAGAGGGGGGTTTTTAAACGAGACGTTTAATAAACAAGACCTTTTGACAGAGTCAGCAACAAATAGATCTTGTTGGCGTAACCGGTTAACAAGCATTTGTCCGCATAACAAATAAGTGGAAAGTTAATTAGCAAACTGTTTATCGCCGTGTAAGCCAAGCATTGAGACGTGTAATGCAAAACAGACGACGTCATTTTACGGATATAAGGAACCACCCAAGCACAAATTCTGCCTTTGGCCGGACTCAAGTGGATCCTAGATAAAAGATAATTGAAACTAACACACGATAGTTTGAAAAATAATATATTTTGATGTGTAATTTTTTTTTTTGTGTTTAAAACAAAGACATTTCTATTCATTTATATAATTGGAAATGAATTCTTGTATACGTATGTAGTTAAGTGAATATTTTTGCCTGGGGATGATGAAACCCGAAGCTATTTTTCACAGCAAATGAAATGTCAGCTGAACACCTGATATATCTCAGCATCTCTAAAGTATCATCTCTCATTGGTGGTGAAAAGAGGGTGGAAGAGAGATTGATCTTTCTCTGACCTGCACTTTACCAAGTTTTGAATATTTTTAACGTAAACCCATAACATTCTGCTTGAGGAATATATTAAATATGTCGAAATTTGTGATTTATATGTGTTAAAGTATAAAGAAGAACTCTATCAATATTGTCGTAACATAGAAAATAGATATTTAAAATAAAAATCTACATCTGAAGCGTGTAATATTCATGTATCATGTTTGATGTCTTCGCATGTTGAAAGAAATATTAAATATTTAATGATAATTGAAATTATTGGATACTTTATAAGTATATTTATAAGAAATTCTCCGCTAGGAAGATGCTTGCAGCATCCTCCTAACATCATCACACGCTTGAAGGATGCTTGAAGAGGGATATCGTCTCTCCTCAAGCATTCTCTTAAAATTACCACGTGAAAACATCCTTATTTTTCATTAAGGATAAATTAATTGCGTTCTTAAACGAAATATTTTTAAAATAATACTAGAAAGAATCAGCTGGTGATGTTTTAGTAGTGTCAATTCAATACTTTAAACGTTCGGGGATAGCATCAATCATTATCTATGCTAAATAATTGTGTAAATTAATTAAGTATAAAGTTTATATAATCATAAATGTTAGCAATTAATGAAAAATGTTTCATAGTTTTTCTACATTTCGTAGATTTTTTAAACACTACCTAATGGCTGCAGTATATAATAGAAATGAATTTGTGATCGAAGTTCTAAGCAAACATTTCGAATAGAAAATTAATTATATAAATGAAATTTAAATAAAAAAACTCTTCCTTAATGTAAAAGTTACCAAAGAGTTTCTTTCAAGCAGAATTTAGGAAATAAATTAAAATTTATTCCCTAAATTCTGCTTCTTAAGGCACTACGATTCAAATACTTCAATTTACACTTAAATTTTTGCCAATATCACTTATAAATTTAAAGAAATTGCCGTAATTCCCTACATCCTTATTGCTCTAAATATACATTTTCCTTAAATTCTCAGAGAAGATGCAAGAGTAGAATGATGAAGATCTGCATCTCTGTTTTACTTCATGAAAATACACACAATTTGAGTAAAATATAAATTGAATTTTCTATAAAACAACTCAATTAAATTATAACTTAAAATTACAAAATTACAGTAAGGATAAATTGTGAGAAAGTTGCATATTAAACCTACTGTGCATACAAGATTTACATCACCTCACGCGAAACAAAATAATGAATATTCTGAAATTTATTTTCTCATAATCATCAAAATAATAGACCATATATAAGTAGTTATAATTAATTTTTTTTTAAGGTGAGAACCTTATTCGTTAGTGGATTACCCATGGATGCAAAACCAAGAGAACTCTATCTTCTATTTAGAGCATATAAGGTAAGGGAAATTTTTTATAATTAGTGAAAGATATTATCTTTGACCGCATATATTTCCAGGGATACGAAGGATCATTATTGAAAGTTACGAGTAAAAATGGAAAAACGTCCTCAGTAAGTCCATTATTAATTTCTTTTTATGTAAAAATATCTAAAGTAATAAATAAGCTGTAAAATCATAAAATTTTTCTAAAGGATACTGAGAAAAAAATCATTCATAAGTTGGGGAAATTCCTTTTTTATTATACGAAATTTCCCTAAATTCATTTCAGGAATGTTGGGGAGAAATTTGTCATTTGGGGAAATTTCTTTATCATCATTTACGAATATTCCCTAAATTCATTAAAGGAATGTTGAGAAAGGAAAATCATTCATCAGTTAGGGAATTTCTTTAATATCATTTTACGAAATTTCGTTAAATTCACTTAGAGAATTTTATTAAATGAATTATAAAATTCCCTCAAAATTCCCCAAATGATTTTTATTTTATTTTAAATATTTGATTTATTTTTATATCAAAAAATTTAAAATATATTTACAAAATTAAACAGGTATACATATTTGAAATTTTATTACATTCATTTACAATAAAAATAATTTAGAATTTTCTACATTATATAGCCAGTTGGTTTCGTTACGTTCTCAACTAGAGCTGGAGCCGAAGCGGCTAAGCAAGATTTACAAGTAAGAAAGATAAATCTAGACTTTACTTTCGTAAATATTAATTAATAAATAATTAATTACAGTATTTACTTTCACTTTTGGATGTGTTTGAAGACAGTTAAATCCTGCAATACTTCGCTAATGACTTTTAACAGGTTAATTGTTGGATGATTGTTAATTTCTAATTTATTTTCACTTTCAGCAGGGTGTGAGATTTGATCCTGATTTACCTCAGACAATCAGACTCGAATTTGCCAAAAGTAACACTAAAGTTAGTCGACCCAAACAGTCTAGTCCACCAGCAGGAGGAACTCATCCAACTCTTGTACCAGCTTTGACTGGTCGTAAGTGTCATTTTTCTTATATATTTTTAATGTTTAGAATAATATTTAATACATATCACCGTTATTTATTATTTTATTTTCAAAAGAATTATGATTTTAGCATAAATTTTAGCATCTATAATTAAGCTACAACGTGTCTTAATTCAGTTTAAATTGTAGTTTGAATTCAATTTAATTATATTATATTATTAATTAAAATGAAACTAGATCTTTTTAATTCCTTAAGTTTCAACGTGTCTTGCGGGGAAGTTTCCTTCATTTTTATTTTATCATTCGCTTTCTTAAGAATGAATTTAATCGGTCGATTTCAGTATTATTTCAATTCTGATTTTTACATTGTTTATTTCAAACACGTGATAAGTGTTTTAATTTAATTGTTGTAAATGATTATTTTTAACTAAATTAATCTGTTAGGAAACTGATGAATTAAAAAAAATCATCAGTTTTCTAATAGAATGATTTAGTTATCATTTATGCTTACTAAGCTAATTTAATCAAAGTTTCGTCTCAAATATGACTATATTTAAATGTTAATTAAAAGTAAAATTTAACACTCGCTCACCTGTAAACGTAAGGAACATTTTTTTCCCTTATTTTTGGGTAGAAAGTATAAAATTTCGTATATTAACTTATAGGATTTTTACAAAACAAAAAGTAGTACATGGCACTCGTCATCAAGAAGTTACACTTGTCGCTGGCAACACAGTGAATTGCAACTAATCCAATTCAAGACTAGAGAAGAGTGATGACAAGAATGATTTTATTAAGTTCTCTTTAAATTAACGACAGTATCCATAATTGGATTGTACTGTACATCAACCAAAATGAAGTATACATTCGACAGGGTTTTATAATAAAAGTTAAATTATAATAAACCATTAATTAACATAGTGTTAATTAATCAAAATGCAAATACTGAGACTATTATTATTATTATTACTATTAAGGGGGATTGTGTTATACAAATATTACACAGTAGAAAGTTAGTTTTATCCATGTCGATATGTTAATGGAAAAGTTTAAAAAATAAATAAATAAATAAATAAAAAACTGGTTGTAGTCTCTATCTGGAGATTAGGAAAACAAAAACGTAGACATTTGGAAAACTTAAAGCGGAAATTTTTCCTACTAACAGGTAAACGGGAATATTTTAGATAGTGAATTGACGCGATCGCATCTACGTTGCTACATTCACATACCGTTTCTTACTTTTTTAATATGCTAATGGATGTCGTAGCGAGGGAAAAAAAGTTGGATACGCTTCCATTGCTTGATGATGCGTTGAAGCAAAAGGAATCTCTCCTTTCTAACGATCAAGCACGTGGTTTGAGTATCAGTTTTCCAACATGGCGTATCCACCTATCGATACATAAACGTATGAACCCGTAAAGATTTTTATGAAAATTGTCTTTACTACACGCTACTTTCGACTTTTTTGCTTATATATAAGTAAACTACATACATTTCGTATATATATATGTATACATTTTTAATTTATTTAAGTATGTTATTAAATTTATGTGTAATGCTATAAAATGTAGCACGTTCCTAAAATGTTTTTCCATATTGAAAGTTATGGCCAACGTTTTGTAGAAATTATAGATGAAGTGGAATACAATAATATATTTTAAGTTGACTATTTTAGAAAAATATTTTGAATGTTTCTATTTTAATAATTTCTTAAATAAGCTGAATTTATAATTATTTAAAGACTTATTAACTTTTTAAAAAAAAAATTTTTAAGTTAGGTTTATGTATTAAATAATAACATTTTTAGCAATTAAAATTACATATTATATTGTTTTTTCTTTCTAATTCCTAAATATAATTGTTATATTTGAAAATAATTATTTTGAGGATATTTAATATTTTTCTTTATTTTACTGTTCCTTATGTTGGTCGAAGTTCCCTGTTCATTATACCAATGATGTTTCCTTATGTTCTTTCAGACCCTGTCCATTACGCTGATGTTCCTTATGTTTCGTCTGTCTCTGTCCATTATCCTGATGTTTCTTATGTTGTTCTGTCTGTTCCTATTTATTATCCTGATGTTTCTTATGTTGTTGTTTATCTGTGCTGTTGATTACGCTGATATTTCTTTTGTTGTTCATTATGTTGTTGTTTCTTATATTATTCTTTCTGTTTATATCCTTATGTTGATGTACTGTACTTTATATTCATTATATAAAAAATATGCAAATTCACTATGTAAAATAATAAAACAACATATAACAAAAAATAATAAAATATTAAATATTTAAAGCTAGAAAGTTGTTTCATTAAGCGAAAAACATTAATAATTAATAATTTTTAAATCCACATAAACACAGGAAAAAAAGTGAATTTTTTTTTCTACCATTTTACTAAATTTTTATACAAATTTCTCACTATTGATTATCTCATTTAGACAATATTTAAAAATATAGGCTATATATATATGTAAGATATAAGAAGTATTAAAATATTTATAAACGAATAAAACAAGAGAGAAACGATACAAACAGTTTACAAAAATAAAAAAATAATAAAATAATTATAAAGTTTCACAATTAATAAGATTCCAAACGATTTAATCTTAATTTTAATCGTGTAAGAAAGAATCAAGAAGTGTAAATTTCGAGCAATAGAAAAGGAGAAAGGGAGAAAGAGGGGAAAAAATAAAATCCCTAAAAGTTTCATAAAAATTCCAAAACGCAAATAGGCCAACATACTTAAGTAGAATATATAAATTAAACTTTATAATTCTCACTTTTTCTCCCCCATTTTCTTCTTCGGTAAAACCTTAATTTGGTAATTTTCCAACAAAATACTCCGCATGCTTTACCTCATCTAAAACTGGGCAATTCTTATCAAAAACTTTGTTTAAAAGAGCACATTTTTTCCCATTTTTTCTAAGTAAAAATTCTCATCTCACAAGGCAAAAGACAACATTCTCAACAGAAAATTTTTCCTATTCCTGATAATGCGATTAAAATTTAATCCCCGTAACTTATAATCTCATTATATCCTACAAATTTTGAATAATTTAAATCATTAAATGAAGCATTCACCAACGTCTCAAGAAGAATGTTTTCGAACGTGTATTTAATGATTTCTAACGTAATTTCAGTAGATTTTAACCCGAAATTACACTTATAAATTCCCTTATTTTTATATGAAAAAATAATGTAATTTCTTCATCCAAAAGTCATTTACGAATAAATAAAGTAGTGTAATGCGACACTTCATTTAGGAATGGTAAATGAAGAGTGTAAAGTTTCATCTTTATCTTATATCACTCCGTATAATTCAATTTAATTTTGGACAATTACTTTTCTAGCTCTCTTACTCTTTCTCTCTTTCTCTCTCTTCTCTAGTAATCAAATTTTCATGAAGTTTAAATTGCTAAGTTTTAGTTGGAATAAATTAATTAGTGAAGATAACTTTTTTTTAACTTTTTGCTTGTAATTGAAGTTAATTCATTCTGAAATTTCTCCTTTTGTTTTATTGTTTTTCAGCGTTGAAAACTGAGAATTGTTAAGATATTGTTATTGTTATTTGTATGTAGAGTCGTTGAATTTGTTGCTATAGTAGTAATAATTTGGTTGCGGTAATATACGTTTGTCTATTATTTCTTCCTTATAAATGTTTTCCTTTTATGCTCCCACAATGTAAATTCCTTTCTCTTAAACTGTTTTTAAACTGTTTTCTTGTGTATATTTACCGTTCAAATCCTCTTTAAACTCCTACATTGTAAATCTCTTTTGTATTCCTTTAAAACTCTCCTTTTTAAGTTCCTATATTATAAATTCTTCCTTTTTACACTACTTTAAAGAAGTATACTTCCTTCTGAACGCTGTTTAAACTCCTACATTCTAAATTCCTATCTTTTAAACTGCTTCCCTTTAAATTCTTCCTATTTAAACCCTATTTAAAGCATAGAATCTTACGATTGAAAATGAAACAGAAAGGCATCTAGCAAGAAGAAAAATCAAAATTTTACTTCTTTATTTCATCTTCATTTTCCTTTATTCCTTCTTTCTACTTGAAAGGCCTTTTACTCTTTATAGTACTATAATTTCTTTGTTTCTTCCACATTCAAGGAAATTAAAGATTAAAAATGTAGTGAAAAGAATGATAAATAATCTTTTCTAAGATAAAGAGAGAATATTTCTATATAAAACTGGAAAAATATTAAGAAAATAGAAAGATACTTTATAAAGGACTAAGAGCACAAGAAAAATAAATGCACAGGACTAGGAAGAATTAAATGAGTAATTATGGCTATACATATAATTAATTTATGAGAAAATTTATAAAAATTAAAAAGATTAAGATGATTATTTAGCATATTTTAAATCTAAGTTATCCTAACGATATAAGATGCTAAAATGGGATCTATAACCAAGAGTCATCTGTACAACTGGGAATTTCCTGTGAATACTTATAATTAAGGAAAACATTTCCTACGAATACTTTTATTCATATTTTTTATGAATATAAGTATCTGTAGAAAGTATTTACATTTTTAAAAGTAAATTAGTTCATTTAGAAGGCTTTAAATCATATAATTCTGCTCATAAATCTTTTCAGAAGGTATAAAATATTATTTTAAACACATTTAGTTAATAATTTAAATTATAAACATGCATAATATACATTAAGAGTACTTTTTAATAAATTAGATAAAATTTTATAGATATTTAAAACTTTCCTTTCGAATATTTCCATAGAGAAAACATTCGAACAAGCAATAATTTAATTATAAAAATAATTATTAATATTTTTAGATATTAAAAATAAATATTTAAACAATTTATTTTTCTAAAAATTCTAATTAAAATNTTCAGCTGTGAAATTGATCAAATTATTTTCAGCTGTGAAATTGATCAAATTATTTTCAGCTGTGAAATTGATCAAATTATTTTCAGCTGTGAAATTGATCAAATTATTTTCAGCTGTGAAATTGATCAAATTATTTTCAGCTGTGAAATTGATCAAATTATTTTCAGCTGTGAAATTGATCAAATTATTTTCAGCTGTGAAATTGATCAAATTATTTTCAGCTGTGAAATTGATCAAATTATTTTCAGCTGTGAAATTGATCAAATTATTTTCAGCTGTGAAATTGATCAAATTATTTTCAGCTGTGAAATTGATCAAATTATTTTCAGCTGTGAAATTGATCAAATTATTTTCAGCTGTGAAATTGATCAAATTATTTTCAGCTGTGAAATTGATCAAATTATTTTCAGCTGTGAAATTGATCAAATTATTTTCAGCTGTGAAATTGATCAAATTATTTTCAGCTGTGAAATTGATCAAATTATTTTCAGCTGTGAAATTGATCAAATTATTTTCAGCTGTGAAATTGATCAAATTATTTTCAGCTGTGAAATTGATCAAATTATTTTCAGCTGTGAAATTGATCAAATTATTTTCAGCTGTGAAATTGATCAAATTATTTTCAGCTGTGAAATTGATCAAATTATTTTCAGCTGTGAAATTGATCAAATTATTTTCAGCTGTGAAATTGATCAAATTATTTTCAGCTGTGAAATTGATCAAATTATTTTCAGCTGTGAAATTGATCAAATTATTTTCAGCTGTGAAATTGATCAAATTATTTTCAGCTGTGAAATTGATCAAATTATTTTCAGCTGTGAAATTGATCAAATTATTTTCAGCTGTGAAATTGATCAAATTATTTTCAGCTGTGAAATTGATCAAATTATTTTCAGCTGTGAAATTGATCAAATTATTTTCAGCTGTGAAATTGATCAAATTATTTTCAGCTGTGAAATTGATCAAATTATTTTCAGCTGTGAAATTGATCAAATTATTTTCAGCTGTGAAATTGATCAAATTATTTTCAGCTGTGAAATTGATCAAATTATTTTCAGCTGTGAAATTGATCAAATTATTTTCAGCTGTGAAATTGATCAAATTATTTTCAGCTGTGAAATTGATCAAATTATTTTCAGCTGTGAAATTGATCAAATTATTTTCAGCTGTGAAATTGATCAAATTATTTTCAGCTGTGAAATTGATCAAATTATTTTCAGCTGTGAAATTGATCAAATTATTTTCAGCTGTGAAATTGATCAAATTATTTTCAGCTGTGAAATTGATCAAATTATTTTCAGCTGTGAAATTGATCAAATTATTTTCAGCTGTGAAATTGATCAAATTATTTTCAGCTGTGAAATTGATCAAATTATTTTCAGCTGTGAAATTGATCAAATTATTTTCAGCTGTGAAATTGATCAAATTATTTTCAGCTGTGAAATTGATCAAATTATTTTCAGCTGTGAAATTGATCAAATTATTTTCAGCTGTGAAATTGATCAAATTATTTTCAGCTGTGAAATTGATCAAATTATTTTCAGCTGTGAAATTGATCAAATTATTTTCAGCTGTGAAATTGATCAAATTATTTTCAGCTGTGAAATTGATCAAATTATTTTCAGCTGTGAAATTGATCAAATTATTTTCAGCTGTGAAATTGATCAAATTATTTTCAGCTGTGAAATTGATCAAATTATTTTCAGCTGTGAAATTGATCAAATTATTTTCAGCTGTGAAATTGATCAAATTATTTTCAGCTGTGAAATTGATCAAATTATTTTCAGCTGTGAAATTGATCAAATTATTTTCAGCTGTGAAATTGATCAAATTATTTTCAGCTGTGAAATTGATCAAATTATTTTCAGCTGTGAAATTGATCAAATTATTTTCAGCTGTGAAATTGATCAAATTATTTTCAGCTGTGAAATTGATCAAATTATTTTCAGCTGTGAAATTGATCAAATTATTTTCAGCTGTGAAATTGATCAAATTATTTTCAGCTGTGAAATTGATCAAATTATTTTCAGCTGTGAAATTGATCAAATTATTTTCAGCTGTGAAATTGATCAAATTATTTTCAGCTGTGAAATTGATCAAATTATTTTCAGCTGTGAAATTGATCAAATTATTTTCAGCTGTGAAATTGATCAAATTATTTTCAGCTGTGAAATTGATCAAATTATTTTCAGCTGTGAAATTGATCAAATTATTTTCAGCTGTGAAATTGATCAAATTATTTTCAGCTGTGAAATTGATCAAATTATTTTCAGCTGTGAAATTGATCAAATTATTTTCAGCTGTGAAATTGATCAAATTATTTTCAGCTGTGAAATTGATCAAATTATTTTCAGCTGTGAAATTGATCAAATTATTTTCAGCTGTGAAATTGATCAAATTATTTTCAGCTGTGAAATTGATCAAATTATTTTCAGCTGTGAAATTGATCAAATTATTTTCAGCTGTGAAATTGATCAAATTATTTTCAGCTGTGAAATTGATCAAATTATTTTCAGCTGTGAAATTGATCAAATTATTTTCAGCTGTGAAATTGATCAAATTATTTTCAGCTGTGAAATTGATCAAATTATTTTCAGCTGTGAAATTGATCAAATTATTTTCAGCTGTGAAATTGATCAAATTATTTTCAGCTGTGAAATTGATCAAATTATTTTCAGCTGTGAAATTAATCGAATTATTTTCAGCTGTGAAATTGATCAAATTATTTTCAGCTGTGAAATTGATCAAATTATTTTCAGCTGTGAAATTAATCAAATTATTTTCAGCTGTGAAATTGATCAAATTATTTTCAGCTGTGAAATTAATCGAATTGTTTTTAGCTGTGAAATTGATCGAATTATTTTCAGCTGGAAATTGATCGAATTATTTTCAGCTGTGAAATTGATCGAATTGTTTTCAGCTGTGAAATTGATCGAATTGTTTTCAGCTGTGAAATTGATCGAATTGTTTTCGGCTGTGAAATTGATCGAATTAATTTCATGTATGAGACTGACCAAATTATTCTCAGCTGTAAATATCGATTATTTTTTTATCTATTAAACTGATTATTTTATCAGCCGATCAAATTATGTTTTATTTAATTGTATTCTTGACCAAAAGTGTACTATTTTTTAAAATTTATATTTGTAAAAGATTAAAGTTTCATAATTAATTAATTAATTAATTATATTAATAATGTTATAAACTTTAACAAAATAATTTCGTTCGTTGAAAATTGTATTTTTAATTTATTGAAATGTAGAAATTCAGCTAAAAAATTCAGTTTATTAAATGTGAAATTGTTGAAATTTATTTATAAATTATTAAAGATATTAATTTCCATATTTGTTAAACTGATAAAAATATCTTCGTAAATTATTTTTATTGCTTCCAGTCTGTCGAATATAGAAAAAAAAATAATAATAAATTGATTTTTCATTAATTTTTTAAGGAATAAAAAATTAGAGTAAATTACAAAAATAACAAACTAAAAAACTAATTAGAAATATTTTACTATACGAATAAAATTTGATAAAGAAGAAGAAAAGAAAAAGAATTACGAATAACTCTTATAATTTATATAAAGTAAAAGACTATGCTGCAGAAAGTGGATTTGAAGATCAAGTAAATTCTAGAAAATCTCATCCTGAATTTAAAAGTAACATTGAAAAAAGTTCTGGAATAAAGCATTGTCCTGTACCATAATCCCATAATTCTTTTCACAGTAGAAATTTCCATTTAGAATCTCATAGGAACTTGTAAACAATCTTATCAATATTTTGTTTTTATGTGGAAGACAAAGATCAAAAGAATTCAATATGAAGTCCCTTTCTTCATGCATTTTTACATCGAATTCTAGCTTAAAACATCAAAAATATAGTAAAATTTATATTTTACATGTAAAAGTTAATAAAATATCGATGTAATATTAGTTTTAAGTGCATTTAATTGACTGTAATCAACATTTTGATACGTTTATAATCCGTTAATTAATATATAAGATTGAAATCATTACAATAGCATTTATTTTAAGTAGAACAATCGAAAAAATAAAAACGGGGGGAAAAATGTATTTTAAAGCGAATTTATTGCTGTAGTAGCATATATAAAGCAACGTAGCAAGCCAGAGGATTTACCGGTAACTTTATCTGAAGCAGGACATGTAGAAATTGTCGAAAAAATAGCATTGGTTAGCCATAACTATTTTTATTGCCTTGATAGTACCGGTAATGTAACATTAAACCTGGCAGCAACAGAGTAGCAGAGTTGAATTTATTACTTCTACAATAAGAAACCATCTAGTTTAGGAAATAAGTAAATTTATTATTATAATAACACTTGAAAGGTTATATATATATATAAATATTTCTTTGTTTTATTTTTAGCTAAGGGAGCCACAAAGATTTAATTGCTGTTACATTATTTTTCAGATGAGATTGGAGCTGCTCTATTACCTGCTGTACACGACGGTTGGCCTCATCATCCTCTCTCTTATGCAGAAGTTCCTGTGTCTTCGGCTATCCCCACAGCAGCATTAGTACATCCAGCACTTCACGCCCAACTCCCAGTGAGTAACGCTTTGCTTCTACGTCATTAATGCTCCATCACTGCAATCTTTTCTCTAACTGTAGAGCAAACTATAAAAAAAAAGGAATGAAGAAAAAGATTTTTCATTAATGAAACTTGAGCTTTGTTTTACTAAATGATTCCCTACACTTCTTATACATTATTTTATTTTATTTTTTTGTTTCCTCCCCTTCTTCTATTCGTCTGAATGAATTTTTCCACCCTCTTCGATTGATTTTAATAAAGGTGATTTCACCTGGCAGTGTAAATTATTCTGAAAGGTTTTAAAACTTGTGCACAGTTTAATTAGAATTTGTTGCGTTTAATATACCATTTTTCCACTTATTTCTAATGTTTAGACGTTAAATAGAGGTTGCGTGGCATTATGACATTGTTAGTGAAACTTCTGAAAGCACGCAATTCTGCAAAATGATAACTTCCTCCTTCACCATAAAATGTTCGACTAACTTCTCCTCTGTCATTGTAACCATAACTGTCTGTCAGGTATCATTTATAAAATTTGCATTTTACTCAATTTATTTGTGAATTTATTAAGAAATTTATTTAAATAAATCATTATATACGTCTAAAATACAGTATTTTTTTCCTCTATAATTTGTAAACATTTATATATTGATATATATAAATATATAGAGAGAGGGGGAAGAACGAGATAAAGATAAGAATTTTATAAAGTAAAATAAAGAAATTATTAATATTAAAACTGGGAAGATGAAAAGATTTCTTGTTAATTTAATATATAATTTTATAAAAATTTATTATTTATATAAATCAAGGGAATATTCCTGTGTCTAATTAATTAATAACATGTTTTCTTTATTTTAACTTGTTGGGGCGTCGAAAAGAAAATATTAAATAAAATTAATAAATGATAATTACTAGTTAATAATGATTAAAAATTAAAAATTTTAAACTATTTTTTTTAAATTTAAGTTTAAAGTTAAAAATGTGAAGATTTTATTTGCATTTATTTTATATGGACGTAGTTTTTGTGTACAGTTAAAACCTCTCTTGTACGTTTTTAAACCTCTCTTGAGAACAAAGAAAATGTTAAATAAATTTTAAAAAATAATAAATTAATATAAGAATAATGAAAAATAAAAGTTAAAACTCAAATATTTTAAAGAAAATTGCAAATTTGGAACCTATAAAGTGCTAAAGAATAGAACTTTTTACAATAAGAAAAGAAAAACAGTATATATTTCATCTATTTTTAATTAATTTTTTTACCTGTTTAACAGTTAAAATATAACATTAAGAAGCACCTAAGATCAATTTTACATTATTTTTCTTCACAAAATGATGGACAACATAATGCAAGATCGATCAAGATGTACTACAAAACCTGAAAATTACTTTCAAAACAATTAATCTTTATAAATAACCTATTATTAAACATCATCATATATTATAGGAGTGATTAACTCGTTGATGAAGGACATTTTTATAAATATATAAATATATATATATGTATATATATATATATATTTATCTTAGAAGAAGAAAAAGCTCAATCACTACGTATCCAGAGAGAATTGAAGTTGCGAAAAGCTTGACTATGCTTAATTATCCATGAAGGCCCAAGTGCTTATATTTATTTCCACTCCCAAGAGGGGAATACGTCTTGTACAAAGTATCTTACTAAAACGAATAAAAATCGAGTAAGGTATACGCTCAAAAAATACTTCAAACTGTACGCTTCTTCGTCAAAACAGTACAGGAAGCTGAGGGGGGATGTTGTATACATTTGTACACGCGCACGCACGCTCTTGCTCTTAAACATCTTTCTTTCTTCGAAAGAAAAGCTTCAGATGGAGGTGCCTTTAAAAGTACGTATCACTGAAGTATCCTTGTGTAAATGTGTAATAACTCAACACGTTTTAACGTCGAAGAATGTGTATAATAATTTACTGAAGCCATTTTGTGTTGGGTGTAATTTGTCAGATAATTACAACCATTCCTTTGATAAATTTGTTCATTTCCTGCCTCTAAATGATGCTAATATGGCTTATAAAGGTTTCTAGGCTCAAATTACAAATTAAATCCTTAATTTTGTAACCAAGTCGAAAGATTTTAAAACAGTTTTCTAGATTTTATTTTCTATTTCGGTGAATTATTCACTTTTAATAATTTTTTAAAGATGTTTTTCTTGATTGATGTTGCAAATTTGGGCGGATTCTGCTGATGCACAATTAAATGAATATCCTAATTTTTCTTTTAAAGAATGATGGAATTAATTATAATTTAGAAATATAAAATAATTGAAATGAACTCCGCCCAAATTCAGGACTTGAAAGTGGGGGAGGGAGAATGATTGCCAACGACTAGATCTGCTGAGTGTTGTTGCTCCGCCCAAATTTTTAAAATTAAAGCAAATTTGGGCGGCCTCGACTCCGCCCAAACTGCAGTATCACCACGAGAATTATCTAACGACATTGGTGGTTTTTTTCTTAGCCGCCACTCACAGTACCTCATCCTCTCTCTCATGCTGCACTGGCAGGTAGTGCCACTATTCATGCAACAATACCACCGCCCCATCTGGTCACCAGTCCCACAATGCCCAGTCCGGTTGGCTCCACGTCTTCTTCGTCGAACACCGTACCCTGCTCGACCCTCTTCGTCGCAAATTTGGGTCAGTTTGTCTCCGAACAAGAACTAAAGGATCTCTTTGGAAGGTAAGTGCCATATGCCTATATAAGGTATTGCAAATTACTTATTTTCATGCAATATACTGCACTTTTAAGTCTATAAGTAGAAGAAGGTAACACAATACATAAGCATTTACCAAGGGGGTACCACCTGGAAAGGCTTTTTATAGGAAGATGACCCCAATTTAGGTATTTGACATGTGAAGAAATTCACGTGGTCGGTCAAAAACCCGTGACTAATTGCCAGTGTTCAGTGGTTTTATCCACTCGGCCAGTAGTGGGCCTGAATAGAACGTAGGCATAACATAGTACTTTGGCAACCTTTATATATTATCTTTATCTGTTTAGGTCCAATTTAATGATTTTGTAAGTTTTCTTGAACTGGGATCTTGAAAACAAAATAACAATCCTGTCATAAAATAGTTCATTTCACAAATCATTTAGGTAAAAAAGTGAGAAGGGTTGCAAGCGGCCCTTAATAACAGACCCATTACGGGTTTGATCATGCCCTTAATATAGTAAAGATGGATCCCAATATATCAAGGCCAAAATTTCTATTAGATTTTTTAAAATTCGGTTTGGATTCGAACTCGGATCCCTCAGAATGGTATTCTTAAGCGAAAGAGCTAGTGCTCTAACAATTTCAGCCACTTGACCAATTAGTTTATATAAAAACTATATTAATATAGATCATATATTAATAAAAATACATTGTGCTTCGAATTTATAGAGAAATTCTGTGTATGTATATACAGAAGTATAGGCTTGTAGGATAAATAATATAAGGCAACACAACACATGAGCAATCTGCCAAGGGATTATGCCTGACAGGTTTCTGAGGGAAATTGGCCCTATTGAAGTGTTAGACACGTGAATAAAACTGGCTAACTCCTCATAGTCAGCCTTTGATGAGGAGCGAACCCGCAACCAACTACTAGTGATCTAGTATTCAGTGGTGTCCATTGGTGAAGAAGTGGAATACAGTATATAAGCAATATACAAATAATCCATATTAATAATTTCTAGAGAGACTGACAGATTAATATATATATAGGCCTATATGTAATCAATTTTTAACTGACTAGATACCATTTAAATATAAAGCATTCTGTTATAAATTTTATATAATCTCATATGCAAAATTTTCAACAATTTGCATGCAAAATACTTCTAATTTTATGTCATATTTTGATTTATGTATAACTGTATCGTTACAGCTTTCCAGGCTTCTGTCGTTTAAGAATGCACAACAAGGGTGGTGCACCGGTTGCATTTGTAGAGTATCAGGTAAGCTAAACACATAGTACTTCAATGTGTGTGTTCAATGTAATGTGTGTATCATGTAGTCAGCGAGTCATTTGCCATGCTCTTTGTTGTCAGGACATCCGATTAGCGATGCATGCTTTAAACGCACTTCAAGGCTATGTACTCTTCTCTTCGGATAGGGGAGGCGTACGAATTGAATACGCAAAGAACAAAATGGGTGAGGTAAGTGCACGGAAAAAATTTGATTTCAATAATTAAATAAAAATAGAATAAATATGAACAATTTTCTCACAACTAAATCGTTTAATCAATCATGTGATGGGAGGGAGTCGAGATGATCACGTGGGGGTGATTTCAAAAAAACATGCAATTGAGTAATCAAACCAATGGCATAATCCGTTTCATATGAAACGAATGGTAAGGTTTGGTTAGTTAGTTGCTTGTTTCTTGTACTCACCCTCTGATGATTAAACGATTGAAAGTTGTCAGAAAATAGTATGAACGGGGCTTAATTAACACCATTTATAAAGTTTCCCTTGTGTGAACGGGGGTTAACCCACACCACCAGTTAAATTTAACTATCGTTTAATTAGTAGATGAAATACATTATTTAGTCCTAAGAGAACAGTTCATAGTCCATGGGCGTTATATTATTTAATATTGCATGATATATAACGCAGATAGTACGTAAAATATGTGTAATAATTTACTTACTAACTGCTTGTTTTTAACGAAATCTTTAAAAATTAAATTCTTATATATATATATATATATGACAGTTTTTATATGCTATTTTAATTGGTCATTACATTGCAATAAAAGTTTGTAGCTTGTAGATAAAATTAGTAAATANTATATATATATTATTTTTAGAATCTTGAAACTGGAAACCTTTAATAAAAAATTTAACCTGTAACAATGTTATATATAGCAGAAGATTTATTGATTCAAGATGGGTAATCAAAATTTATTTATTCCCATTCGACGAAAACATTTCGAACTTGGAAAAGAAATTTTAGAGGGGGGTTTTCTTTTTCAATAAATTCAAACCAAAGTTTCAAATTTCTCTACTTGATGGCATAATTTGATTGTGGTATAATTTATTTTTATATATAACTTATTTTTTCTTTTCTTTTTCTCTTTTTTTTTCCTTTACAGATGTCAAGGGAATGATTCATCATAGTTTAGTCATCTTTTTGGAAATTTTCGAACATTGTAAGCATCGTTATTTATGTACAGTCCAAAAAATTATCATCCAGAAAATATGTGCGTTTTGTTTTTGATCTTCATATTTTCAATTATCATCCTTTTTTTTCCTTTAAGAAAATATTCTAAGTAAGGATTATTAGAGTTTAGAAGAATTTGGAAGAGCATTCCTTGGTTTTTACTCCCTTCTTTTTTTGTTTTTGGTTGATGTCGAACACTTTTACTGAAGTGACCTTCCTTGCAATGGATGCCTGGATGGTATGCCTCCCAAATAAAAAAAACAACATATCACATCCCTCTTCGTGGACCAGAATGAGCAATTTAAAATTATACTTTTGAGAAAAAAAAATACAAGCGGCTTTTATTCCCTTTGTAATCTTTTTGTGACTGTGATGTGTGCCATGTCTATGCAAATTTACCCTACGATGTTAAGCTGTTCTCGCGAGTTTTTTGTACATAGTATGGGAAAAAATATATATATATAAAATATAGACCAAATATAGTAAGATATAAATGCATCTCTTTGAAAGAAAAGGGAATAAAACAAGACATTAACAGCAAGATAAATTTTGAAGTAGCCTCGTATAATTTGAAGAGAGGCCTCAATGTTTTCTTTTGGAAATGTTTACTGATTGATCGATCTCTTGTAGCTAGGTGGCCCCCCTTTTGCAACGCAATGTGGGCCTCAACCTTTTACGCATGTAAGCTTATATAAAATTCATTATTAGTCATTATCCTACGCGAATTACGAACATACCAGGGAATTTCTAGTTGCTGTAAAATTACTCCGCCCCGTTGGGCCTGGTTATGTCTCAGTTATAAGTATCAAAGAGAAGACAATCAACCCTTCTTAAGGACAAACAAAAAAAAAAAAGATATCTATATATATATATATATACAAATTTAGAACCACTGGATAAATTGGAATAAACCGAAGAAGTATGTATCTATGCATTAGTGTTTGTCTAATGCAAATGCCTTGTTAGAAACCTCATCTAATTTCTTTCTTTTATTAAAAATATATCTTGTCAATTGGTAAGAACAATTGTTCGAGAGCAAAAAGACATTAAAGAAGTTCAAGAAATGTTCATAAATTTATTCAAACTTTTCTGTTTTCTTTCCCAAAGTCTACCTCTTGTGATTGGCATGTTATTGGTGTTTATAAAGAATAAAAAAAAAAAACAAAACAAAGGAAAAAATAATAGCTCATAAATCATTGAATGATAAAGAATCATGCTGACAATCCTTAATAAACATTTCTTTCGATGTGAGATAAACACTTCTGCTAACAAAGGCAGTTTCATATTCCGTCCATTAGATCTCACATTGATAGAAACAGCAATAGGACAATTAGGAGTGTGTATGGAATTTAAAAAAAAAAGAAAAAAAAAATACATTAAAAAAATTAGAATATGAAGTCCTCGGAATTAATTTACTACCTGGTTTACTTCCGCAATAATTAACACACCCTACATTATAATTCTTTTTTTTTGTTCTATTAAGTCTAGTTGTGTTATTTACATGATATTGTATATATCGATATAAATATAAATATATATATATATAAATATATAAAAGAGTAAAATTTGAAATAATGCTTAATAAAGTTGTCGAAAAAATTGTGTTTCATTTTTTTTTTAANCTAGAAAAAAATTTAATTGCGCTAATTTTTTTTTAATTTCTACATTTAAATTGTTTCGGATTTAAATTGCATGATTAAAAGTTATTTAAATAATCGAAATAATTATTTTAGAAAAAAGAATATTTAAGTTAAACAAATTTACCACAAAAGTTTATTGGAATGTCAATTCTTGTTTCCTTTTATAGATTTAAACAATGTTCCAGAATAGGCGAAAAAATGTGGGAAATGTGAATTCCTTCAAATTCCTAAAAGACAATTAAGGAAAATTTAGAAAGTAAAAAGGAAAGAGGAATTTGAGTAATTATATCGTAAAATATTCCAGAAATATAAGGAAAATTATCTTTAATTTAATGCTGACACATTAGCGAAATGTAACGTTTCCCCAGTTGAAACCCGTCATAAAAAAACTGAAATATTTTCGACTAAATGACCATATCTTTTACGAATACTGAATTAAATAATTAAGATCTTAGAAACTAGATGGCGACATTATTGCTTAGTTTACAGCAGTTTCATATTCCGTCCATTAGATCTCACATTGATAGAAACAGCAATAGGACAATTAGGAGTGTGTATGGAATTTAAAAAAAAAAGAAAAAAAAAATACATTAAAAAAATTAGAATATGAAGTCCTCGGAATTAATTTACTACCTGGTTTACTTCCGCAATAATTAACACACCCTACATTATAATTCTTTTTTTTTGTTCTATTAAGTCTAGTTGTGTTATTTACATGATATTGTATATATCGATATAAATATAAATATATATATATATAAATATATAAAAGAGTAAAATTTGAAATAATGCTTAATAAAGTTGTCGAAAAAATTGTGTTTCATTTTTTTTTTAATGTTTCAATTTTACCTTTCCTGCTGTTATATTCAACAGAGGGAAAGTATGGCGATCGGTCAAAAAAATGACTCCCGAATAGTTTTTTTTTTACATTTTTCGACTCGTTGGACCTTAAANTATATATATATATATTTATCTTAGAAGAAGAAAAAGCTCAATCACTACGTATCCAGAGAGAATTGAAGTTGCGAAAAGCTTGACTATGCTTAATTATCCATGAAGGCCCAAGTGCTTATATTTATTTCCACTCCCAAGAGGGGAATACGTCTTGTACAAAGTATCTTACTAAAACGAATAAAAATCGAGTAAGGTATACGCTCAAAAAATACTTCAAACTGTACGCTTCTTCGTCAAAACAGTACAGGAAGCTGAGGGGGGATGTTGTATACATTTGTACACGCGCACGCACGCTCTTGCTCTTAAACATCTTTCTTTCTTCGAAAGAAAAGCTTCAGATGGAGGTGCCTTTAAAAGTACGTATCACTGAAGTATCCTTGTGTAAATGTGTAATAACTCAACACGTTTTAACGTCGAAGAATGTGTATAATAATTTACTGAAGCCATTTTGTGTTGGGTGTAATTTGTCAGATAATTACAACCATTCCTTTGATAAATTTGTTCATTTCCTGCCTCTAAATGATGCTAATATGGCTTATAAAGGTTTCTAGGCTCAAATTACAAATTAAATCCTTAATTTTGTAACCAAGTCGAAAGATTTTAAAACAGTTTTCTAGATTTTATTTTCTATTTCGGTGAATTATTCACTTTTAATAATTTTTTAAAGATGTTTTTCTTGATTGATGTTGCAAATTTGGGCGGATTCTGCTGATGCACAATTAAATGAATATCCTAATTTTTCTTTTAATAACGAGTTATTTACTAATATTTTTATTAGGCAAATTTTATTTAAAAAAAAGTTAGAAATTTAAATGATGTGTTAACTGTATAATGTACTTTGATATATACGGTCTGTAACTGTAGTAAAACTGTAGACACTGTACTGTACATACTGTAAGGGTATATAAAACCTAATATATACAGTAAAAACATACAGTAAACTTACACTGTGTATGTACAGTACAGTAAAACTGTACTGTAAGTGCAGTAAAAGTAACTAAAATTAAAATTAGTAAAAGGTAAAGTACAGAAAGCTGAATATAGTGAAAGTAAAAGTTACTAGTAAAAAGTAGAAATAAAACTTCTACCTATAAAACTAGTAAAAGTTACTTTTACTAACGGCTCACCAGTGGCCGAATGGTCTTCGTACTCTGAACACTGGGAGTTTGGTCGTGGTTTCGCGTCTTGCTCTGACGGGCTGGCCACGTGGAAGTTTTCTCCACGTCTGTAACGCCTAAATAAATAGGGGCCACTTTCCCTTAAAAAGGCATCCCCTAGACAGATTGCCCAAGTGTTGCGTTGCCATAACTCCAAACAATACTTTCGCTACTTTCATTCTTAGTTACAGTACAGAGTACTTGTACATGTAGTAAAACCGTTGACTGATAATACTGTAAAGTTTTACTGTATGCAAAGTAAAAGTAAAATAACCAAATCAGTTAAGGCATAAACCCATGGCTATGGAGCACCCTGGATCGAGTTAAGGGCGAGGAAATTTTTCATGTCTTTCCGCCTTCACCACCCACCTTTCTTTATTGTGGGGCCCGGCCAAACCTACAATGAGCATGATTAAAAAGGCCTTCCTAGTACCCATGGCGAAAGAAAATACAGCTGTGTTTATTTATTAAAGAGTAAAATATTCTAGAAAAAAATTTAATTGCGCTAATTTTTTTTTAATTTCTACATTTAAATTGTTTCGGATTTAAATTGCATGATTAAAAGTTATTTAAATAATCGAAATAATTATTTTAGAAAAAAGAATATTTAAGTTAAACAAATTTACCACAAAAGTTTATTGGAATGTCAATTCTTGTTTCCTTTTATAGATTTAAACAATGTTCCAGAATAGGCGAAAAAATGTGGGAAATGTGAATTCCTTCAAATTCCTAAAAGACAATTAAGGAAAATTTAGAAAGTAAAAAGGAAAGAGGAATTTGAGTAATTATATCGTAAAATATTCCAGAAATATAAGGAAAATTATCTTTAATTTAATGCTGACACATTAGCGAAATGTAACGTTTCCCCAGTTGAAACCCGTCATAAAAAAACTGAAATATTTTCGACTAAATGACCATATCTTTTACGAATACTGAATTAAATAATTAAGATCTTAGAAACTAGATGGCGACATTATTGCTTAGTTTACNATTTAATGCTGACACATTAGCGAAATGTAACGTTTCCCCAGTTGAAACCCGTCATAAAAAAACTGAAATATTTTCGACTAAATGACCATATCTTTTACGAATATTGAATTAAATAATTAAGATCTTAGAAACTAGATGGCGACATTATTGCTTAGTTTACATTTATTAAAATACATTATTAATTAATTAAATCACAATATTTTTTGAGAATTTTTACTTTATTTTTTCAATTATTAAAAAGGTAAATTAAATTAATTTCACTTTCACTTTTTTTTTCTTTTTTAAGTGTGCGAACTAACACCGTGTTCAATGGTGTAACTGTTATTAAGCGACACTTAAGGCTCTACGACGTAAGCATCTCTGGACAATGTTTTTTTTTTAAAATTTTGTTTAAACTCCTAAGCGTTATGAATGTGGACAGGTTAGGGCCTAAGTGTTAGGGGCTCTTTACAATTTTTTGCTCGAATGTAAATTTCTAGTTACCCATTGACGGTGTTGTATACAATATTTTTCATACAGTATTGGAAAAATATATATAAATTATACAAAAATGATATATAATTTTTGTAAATATATACAAAATAGTATAAAAATATATATTTTTGTAAACATATACACACATTTTTCTAGAAATACAGTATATGTATATGTATATATTATTGTAAAAATATACAATGTAGCTACAAAATTATATAAGGTTTATGTAGCAAAAGTACTATACAAAGTACTATAAATTACACATATAGTTTACATCTTTCTCTTTTTCTGCGAAGTACATACAGGGAGGAAGAGCTGTATATAAGGACAGAGAGAAGGAGCACTATAAGAGAGAGAGAGAGAGAAAGAGCTGTATATACTGTATAAAAAAAGTGCTGTAAACTATATACAGAGAGGAAGAGCTGTAAATTACAAACAAAGGGGAGAGGTATACATACAGAAAAAACTGTAAACAACATAGAAAGTAAGACCTGTACATACAGATAGACAGACAACAGTGATTGAGAGAGAGAGATCTGTAAACTACAAACAAAAAAGGGGAGAGAGAGATTGTAAACTATATGTAGAGAGGAAGAGCTGTACATACATAGACAGACAGACAGAATTCTGTTTTTCTTCTCTCCAAAAATATAATTTTTCTTTTAATAACTCTATCACAGATAATATGCTATATCAGAAAAATGAATGGCTTATCATAACCGAAAATGAAACAAAAAACGCCATTATAGATACTTCAATCATAAAATTTTTTAATTTCTTTTCCTAAAAATAAACTTTTATGAGATTCTATAAATAATTTTAAAAATTTTAGTAAATTAAAAACGTGTTTTAATACGTTCATACGAGATTTACAATTTTAAAAAATTCATTAATTTGTATAAATACATATAAATTTCGTCCCCCTTCTCTATTAAATTGTGCAAATTATATATATATTTTTTTAAATTTCTGCCTAATTTTTATTAATTAATATAGCATTAAATCGCTTATTATTTTAATTACACATTAAAAAAATAATTTATTCTATTATAGAAATAAGCATTACAAATATTTTAAACTGTATAATTACAAAAAAAAAAATAATACTTTACGGTTGCGGAATAATGTACTGTACACTATTAC